TGTCCCACTGGCTCTGGGTGGACACGAGTTGCCACTTCCTCTGGTGCTGAAGCAGGGTTTGGTGGCTGTCCCCTCTCACACACCAAACCCAGGATGAAAGGCTGGTCTAATAATCAAGGCCCTGGACTGCAGCTGAGGTTTGGGTGTGGTTTCTGTCTGTGCTCTGGGCTCTGTCACAGTGTCTGGACCTACGTGCTGGTGTCAAGATCAAACCTGTGGGCAGAGCGTGTCCTGGCTGCTGCTGGGGCCGTGCACCTGTGTTTCCTCTCTGTAGCCAGGGTGTGTTGGGTCTGGATCTGGCCTTGACAGAAAGTTAAAAAGTGGCCAGGAGACATACCTGGGAGCTCTTTTAGATTTGCTGTTCTAGACATAGCTGGGAAGAAACCGGGCTAGTAATTTTTTTTCTGTCTAGTCTGCAAATGAGGATAATAATTCCTTTTCCTCACCTTTCGTCTGTTTAGATGAAACCTCTGGAGGGTGGGGCCTGACTTCAGAGACTGGCCTGATGGGACAGTGACTTCAGCTGGGATTCCTAGGGGCCTGTAAATAAGGGAAAACTTTATTATTGTCGAGGGAAAGCCCATTAGCGATTGGGACATGCCAGCACTGGTTTTGGAAAGTTCAAGAGGTCTTTTCTATGCAAATGCTTTGATAGGTCCCAGTATGAATTTGGTGTGGTATAGCTAAAACACACCTAAAAATATGTCACCCAGCAGCATCCCAAACAAGCTGAGCAAATAGGCGTTCACTGGCTTTTAGTTTTTAGCCCTAATTTACGAGCAAGGAAATGGAGCAGGGGAGGAAGAGGCAGCACTGGAGCCTTCGGACCCTGCTCAGTGGAGGCATGGCAAAAAATCTCAAACAGTTGAGTTGTTCTTCTCATTTGTCAGAAAGAAACCCACCAATGTAACAAATATGTCTCTCCCAAAGCTTCTTTCTAATGTAATATTAATCTGTGCTCTCATGTGTGTGTTTGGGCAGGATTTAGAGCATTACATCAGTTTGCTGTGCTGCTGCTTCGCTCCAACACGCAGCTTTGCCATGGGGGGCTGGGGAGGGAGAGGAGTGCAAGGAAAGGACTTGGAAGAGGGGGGAAGGGATGCACAGCAAGCAAATAGCCACTCTCCTTTAGGAGGAAAAAAGTGCCTCAACCAGTATTTCTAAAACTAGAATTGCAGCCAATTGAGGAAGGTGTCGTGGAGTCAGAGCTGTGCTCTTAGATCCCATTTCAGATTTTGGACCATTTTGCTTTCCACTGACCCTTGTTGCCATTCCTTGCTGAGTGAAGTCACATTTGGGTTTGTGAGCTCCTCAGGGACCTAACCTGTCACTTCTCTGTGTCTGCAAACTGCTGTGAATGTTGATGGCCTCATATAAATAAAAAGGATGCGGGAAAGCTCAGGAAGGCAACCAGGAGGATTGTAGGTCTGGGCTGTGGTGGAACTCCCTGTGTGCACCCTCCCAGCTCCCTCGGTGTGAACACACATGTGTGCATGTGCCACGCATGGCTAATGGCCTGGTTAGCCTGGGAGCCATTCCCAAGGCAGCACATGACACTGACCTGCGGAGCACAGCATGGAAACAGGCTTTTCCTTTTAATTGGTGGGTTCTCTTGTGATCTTCATCTTCCTACTGCAAACTCATTCTGCATATTGCAGTTCCTCCGGTCCTGTAAGGAAGAGTTCTCCTGCTCTCCCTCCCCTCTCGGAGCTGGCCAGAGCAGTTTGGCGGATGAGCCGCGGGAGGACTTGGAAATGACGGGACTGGCTTTGCTGAGCCCGTGGCTGGAGCGTTCCCTCCGGTCCGGGCGGGAGGAATGTAGGGAGCTGTGTCCAGATCCGCGATAGCTCGAGGAGCCGATGAGTGAGTTCGGTGCTGCAGCGGGGAGGGGAGGGAAGGCTTATTTGGAACGGGGAGCTGCCCGAGCGAGGCTGAAGGAGCTCCGCGCTGCCCTGCTATCATCAAGTGCTTGTGTGAGGGAGGGAGGGCACGCTCCCTGGGTCCTGGGAGCGTGGGGCTGGCCGGGAGCAGGGGGGAGGCAGGTCGGGTGAAGTGCCAGTGCCTGCTGCTGCCTTTGGCTGGGCGGTGGAAGGAGCCATTTCTCATAACGTTTAGCTGCTTGTTTTTATCAGTGGGGTTGGTTCATTTCTGTGCCCTGCTCCTGGGCTTGCCTGGCTCCCCCCCCCATTCCTCTCTCCTTCCTAACTCTCATTCCCCCTCCATCCTTAATCTTCCCACCCCTTCCTCTCATCTGAGCCTGACCCTTCTCTCTTCTTGCCCCTCCTTCCCAGCCGATCCCTCCCCCTGCTCTGGATCCGCTGGCTGTGGGATTTTTTTCCCGTGCTCACTGGCAGATGTGACAGCTTTGGGAACTGTATCATCCAGGAACAGCTATATCTGGAGTTGAAAAACCTAACGTGGTTTCCCAGGCAGCAGGAATGGATCGCTGAGAGAATTTCAATCTCCGACTGCTTTTGTCTTGTGGTAGTGACTTTTATTATTTATGTTTGTGACATTTCTTACAGTACAGTTGTCAGCACTGAATGAAAGACTAAAGTCTAGTAGATTATTATAAAAATCAGTGTCACAGTATTTGTGTTGTTATATTAAAGGGATGCTGTCTACGTTTAAATACAGGTTTGGCTTGATTTACGAAATTTTATATGCATAAAATGTTCTTATGAATTTCTTACTGACTGAGAAAAGGCCTGTTTTTATGTGTTTTATTTAAACATTCTTTAGCTGGGTATTGGAAATAAAAATAAATAGCTCTTGCATGAAAACCACAAAGTGAAAGGAGGCTGGTTAAATACAGAGCTCCTCAATGAAAAGCAAAACCTACCCAGATTATTACAATCCATATTTCAAATAACTATTTTTAGTGTATGGATTTCATTTGCTCTTAATGCAGTTTACCTTTAAACCACCTGTCTGATCTCTTTCTAATCAGATGTAAAGCAAATGCCACTGGGTGCCCAGGGGTGTGTTGTGTGTGGAGCTGATTACATTGTGTTGTTTTTGAGATATCTATTATAAGCCAATAAGGCACTTGCAGGCCATGTCAGCCAGTCCCCTAAAACCGACCAGGAACTCTGGAGCTGCTCCTTGCAGGGTCCTGGGGGGCTTTGGGCTCTGGGATGGCAGTGCAGGGCAGGGGCTCAGTGACAGCTATGGGGATTTATGGCAGTGTACAAATGCAGTGTTTGTGCCTGTGCAAGCTGAGATGCTGACAGAGCCACTGTTCTGGTTGGGGCCAAAAAAGGCTTTAAAAATTTGCATTTTGAAGCAGTTCAGCCTGAATCACTCTCCTTGTGGGGAAATGCCTGACATGTTCAGAAAACCATTGATGCTACAAGTGCTAATGGTTGTGGCATTTGGAACACCCCGTTTTACAAGACTCTTTGCCACCTGAAGCAGTTAAAGAGCAAACTTGGAAGAGTCTGTGCTATGCCCTGGGTATCTTTTCATTATGAAGCTGTGAGAGAAGGAGCAGGAGAAGGAAAAAGGCTGGTTGAAATAGTAATATCTCTGTGTCTGGAAATACCCCTGAGCTGGTGGATGAAGGAGCAGTCATGACTGATATGTATTATGGATTCAGAACTGAACCACTTGCTGTAATACTAGAGAGATACTCCCTGCTCTCCTTGGAGGCTGGGAAGCTCCTTAGCAGCTCCAGCTGTTGGTTTGAGCAGTACTAACACCATGAGCATCTTTCCTTTCCGGTACTGACTGCACTTTTCTTTTCCTTAAAGAATTGCCCTCTGACCTTAGTCTTGATTCTTAGTTAATAAGTAGCACCAGAGGGGCCTGTGAGATGAATCACTGTTTGAGGAGGTACAGTCCAGACCTGGAGCACAGACACCCTTCCCATTAGCTCTCCACTGAGATGGATTTGTGTTTTCATTGGAGCTTGTTCTAAGCAAAGATTATTCTGGCTGTGAAACCTCTTCCAAGCAGAACAGTTGCTTCCAGCCTCTCTTGTGATTTTTTTTTTTAGTTTGCTAACCTTTTGTTTTCTTTTTCAGCTGTGGGGTATCTTTGGTGGCTCCTGGCTGCAGTGTTGCAGTGGCCAGTGTCAGTGTGAGGGGTGGGTTTCACGAGGGGTGGATGGCATGACCGGGGTGTTAGATGGAATAAAGGTCCTTCTGTGCCATACAAACACTTCCCACCCCTGTGGCTGCAGGATCACGGTGACCAACCTGGGAGCCAGTGTAGATTGGATTTCAGGACCTCTGTCTAGCACCAGGAATCAGTCATTGTTCAGCTGGTGGCTGCCCTTTGCTCCCTAAACAAGTTTAGAGTGGGACAACCTGGAAATTGTTTGTCCTAGATTTCCCTGTGATGTGCTGATTTTGGAGATGGGTGTCCTCTAGAAGTGTATTCTTGTCTCCACTGCAGAAGGTTATCTCTCTGTGGTCTGTGTCTCTGACCCTTGCAAATATTTGTTTAGCACAAAGAGTTGGAGGCCGAGGTCCTGTACAGGGGAAGAGTGACCTGCTACAAAGTTGAAGTGGCAAAAATGCTCTGCCTGATGTCAAGGAAGAGGAGCCATTCACTGCTGTAAGCAGTGTTAGTGAGAGGCAAATGCCAACAGTTAAGTTGTCAGTGGAAAGGGAAGAGCATATAAACGATTTCATTCTTTTATTGGTGGATTTTAATTGCTTTAGTAAACCTGTGGAGCTTTTTCCCAAATGAGTCAGTGGAATCATGGAACATTTCAGAGGAGAAGGGACATCGAGAGAGGTTGTGTCCATCCCTTGCAGTCCTCCACCTTTCCTAGGCTGTGCACACAGAGCTCCAGTTCTTCCTTTTCCTTCATATATTCCCAATTTCAGAGAGGTCTGATCTCTTAGCTTTCTATTTATCTAACTATCTTTTTTTGACTATAAAATCTAGATTCAGATTTTGAATGTCTCCTGTGTTTGGGAATATTTCAGTGTTAGCTGCTTCTGGCTTGTTGCACTTACACTGGCTGTTCACACAAGCTGTCTGTCTCAGCCCTCAAGGGAAGGAGTCTTAGTTTTTAATTTTAGCTTCTTCAGCTACCTGCTGACAGAGTTTGATTTCCACCTCCCACCTTCTCTCTCCCTCACGGGCCCTCTAAGCAAGAAAAACTGAGATCCGAAGTTGGTGTTGGGCAGATCTTCTTTTGGCAACAGCTCTGCTGTCTTTAAACTGGAACCAAGTGGATATTAATTACTTGCAGTAACCAGTGAGAAGGCAACCTGAGCCCTGTTCATAACCACCTTTCATTCCAGGCTTGTAGTGGCATCAACACTCTCACTGGCTGGACTCCAGAGCCATTTAACCTAGGTAGGAGCCTGTAAGATATAAATACTCATCTCTAACATGTTTTTCAATGCTTGTATCAGGTAATGCGAATTTTGTAGAAATAACAGAAATCAGTAGAAATCTCAGCTCAGCCATGGACCTGCCAGGTGGGCTTGGGCAAGTCTTTGCTGTGTTGGTGCCTCTGCTTCCTCCTGTGTTGACCAGTGCTTGTTGAAGTGCTTTTCCCCAGAGAATGCCCTTGGTGCAGTGCAATGAGCTGCTAGAAGTGCCCGGTGGTTGCGCGGGCCGGGCGCTGACGGCGTTGCCTTCCCCCTGCAGGCGTCATGTTCCGCAAGAAGAAGAAGAAACGCCCGGAGATCTCGGCTCCGCAGAACTTTGAGCACCGCGTCCACACCTCGTTTGACCCAAAGGAGGGCAAATTTGTGGGCCTGCCCCCCCAATGGCAGAACATTCTGGACACGCTGAGGCGCCCCAAGCCAGTGGTAGATCCTTCGAGGATCACGAGGATGCAGCTCCAGCCCATGAAGGTGAGAGAGGGAGGCGGCTCTTCGCTGTTGCAGCGTTTCCATTGCCCCAGAAGTGGGGCTAAGGGTGGGATCTGTGTGGGATTGAGGGGAGAGCAGGGGCTGGGCTTTGGTAGTACCTTCATGAGCAGTAGGGACAGCAGTGTCCTGAACTGCAGGGGTGCCACTGTTGGAGTAACCAGCTTGGCTGCCTGTCACTGTGGACACAGGGACATGGGAAAGCTCTCGTGGAGCTGGCAGGGCCTGGGATGTGTTCAGCTGCTGTACAGGGAAGGTAGGAGGAGAACTCGGGGACAGACTTGTTTTAGCAGGTTTGTCATTCTCACAGGTGGGCAAATTGGACTGGTAATGAAGTTGCCAGGGAAGCCTGAGTGGGAGAGAGTGGGGTAGCACTGGCTTGCTGTTCATGGACAAGTGAGGACAGCAAGGACTAAAGGAGGGTTTGGGCTAAAAGGGTTTCTAAACCAGCATTTTGATGGAAAGTAGGACATGTTAAACAGGAGCATGTCCTCAGACAAAGTCCTTCAGTAAGCAGAAACAGGTGATTCTGGTGGATGGGTGGGTTCAGTTGGCTGCTGGAATCTGGAATTGGCTTTGGAGACTGTGTAAGTGAGAGCAGGGACCTGCTGTGGGAAAAGGAAATGAAAGATAGTGACAGAATCATTGTGTTTAAAGTCCTGGGAGCTTGTGGGAAGTTTTTCTTCTCTTTTTAAAAAAAAAAAAAATGCTCCAGAGGCCTAAAAGTTGAAAGGTGAGTTGTCAAATAGAGATGTTACTACTTGGGTTTTAGGAGGGATATAAAAAAGAGTTGGCCATCTGATGAATATATTTAGCTTTTTGTGTGTAGGTGTTAAAAACATGGAGACTAAATGGGACTATATTTGGTATAATGTAAGTTTTATACATAATCAGACCTGCAGCTGAAATGGCACATCATATTGGAGCAGAATGCTGATTTGTAAAGGAAAGACTTGCTCAGGAAGAACAGGTGAAAGAAAAAGGCAGGAGGTATTGCCTGGTGTACTGAATGTGCTTTGAGGTTCAAAATATAGTAGGAGATAGGAGCACAGTCCAGAGCAGAGATGAAATGTGTAATAAGAGACCAACTTGGTTGGATCAGGAGCTCTTTAATGAGCTTAAACTGCAGGAGGATTGCTCAGAAGGGTGGAAACTAGGTCAAGTTATAAAGGGCAAAGAGAAAAGAAATTTATGTAGGAACAAAACTGGAAGGCCAAGGCACAAAAAGAGATGTTATTCTCAAAGAACATAAAGGGCACTAAGGAGACATCATAAGTGCACTGAGGAGAAGGAGGATGAAGGAAAGAATTTGCTCACTGCTGATCTTGGAAGAAAGTTAATAACAGATGACACCGGGAATTCTTAAGTGTTTAATGATTTTTCTGCAGCCTTTATTAAGTGTGTTCAGAGGGCTGACACAATTAGCACGAGCATGAAGGGATGGGAATGCAAGCTGGAATAAGAAAAGAACATGAACAGAAATAAGACTTAGCTAAGAAGTTGCATATTTTCAAGTCAGCTGGGCCTAGTGAGATTCAAGGAATTGCAGATCAGTCAGAATAATTTCTATTCCCAGAAAGAGGGTGGAACAAATAAGCAAGTAATCTATTTGCAGCCACTTCCAAGGAGATAGCAGGGTAATAGCTGGCAGCCAGTGTGGATTTATCAAGAACAAATCAAGTCAAGCAACCCAATTTCCATCAATCCCAGGGTGTGAGGCCGTGGGTCTGGGGGAAATGACAGCACTCTCCTGTAGCTTGACTTAAGTGAGGCTCCTGACACTGCACCAATGGCATTTCCAGAGCAAACAGCCATTTAGGCAAAGGCTACTCCAAAAACAGTGTGAGGCATCCCTGTCAAAACAGGAATGTGCATGAAGAGATTTCCGGGCGTTTGCCCTGAGCCTGATGCTGGTTGGGACTTTCATGTGTGACTTATTAAAGCTGAGCGTGGTAAAAGCTGAAAGGAGGTGCAAAGCCTTTAGAGAACAAGGACAGAATACCCAACAGGCTTTAAGAACTAGAGGAGAATCTTAAACTAACACTGTTTTTTTTCCCAGTAAGTCCAAGTGCAAATACTCTCTGAGACTGCATCACATAGTTGAGTATTTTGGGTAAAATCCATTTGAATTAATTCCTGTTCAATTATACCAGTCAATAAGATTTATTTTTTTTAAGTGTTAATTGGCCAAGTCCTTATCCTTAGTCCTGGATTCAGCTGTCAGAGTTGTTCTTTTTTTGTGTGTAGCTTATAAAAAGGGGCTTTTCTTGTTAAAAATAATTTCTCAATTCTGCTCAGTAAGGCATGATCTGTGTAAGAGCACTCCAGATAGATTTGGCTCAAATGTGGATGTTTCTTCATTAATCTGATGCAGTCTTTATACACAGCAGCAAAGCAAGGCTAAGTCCCATCTTCCCTGTCCACTGGGGGTAGGACTGTCTTAATGGGAGTGACCTGAGTCTAATTCTAGGGAGTTTCTAAGTAGGAGGTGTGCACTAGAGTGGATTTTCCAGAGAGGCCACAGCATGTTCTTGGAGTCTTCTTATTTTGAGAGCACACAAGTCCCTCTGGAATGACTTTTGTCCATTTTGGTCAAACAAGTCCATGTCCCCAGCACGTTGTTCCGTGGCCGGGCCGTGGAGGAATGTGTGTGTGTGTGGTGAGGGAGTAGAGTGAAGACCAGAATTTCCAGCTGCAGCTGGTGTGTGTGTGCCATGGAATGAGCGTGGTTGTCCTTCCCTCACCTTGTTTGACAGAAATGTTGTGTTGTGCCTTTCATTCTCAGACGCTGAGCAAACCAGGCGCTCGTTGGAGCGCGGTGGTGGCATTCTGCTGAAATTACTGGAGCTGCTGTGTTGCACCAGCTAAATATTAGGCTTGGTGTAATTAATACAGCATGTTTAGTAGATCCCTGGAGCTCAGTTAGCAAACAGGAGATTGCTGTCACTCCAGGGAAGGACTTTCCTTCAGGCAGAGATTCATGAAAGTGTAGGAGTGATCCTATGCTGCGAATTTCTGTGGAGAAATGGAACCTTTTGGTTCCCAGCGCTAAAAAAGCTTCTGTAAGCTTTTCAGTTCCAGAAAAAACAAGGTAGAGCGCTACATAATATATTGACAGCTTCGAGTGTCCTACTTGTCCAGAGCTGGTGCCTGTTTGGATGGAAGCCTTGTTCCGCAGCCGGTGCTTACACGGCAGTTGTGAGCTGTGGTGACCCCGTGTGCGGGGTTTAATTAGAGTGGCTTGGCAGAGCAGAGGGGGATGCAGAGCTGGAACAGCGTGCTCTGCACTGCTCAGGATGCAGATGCATTAGCAGAAATTGGGGAGAAGCAGACTGGGGGAGGCTGATTCCAGCACTGGGAGTGCTTCAGGGGAGAGATGAACCTTGTGTTGGAACAGCGAGATGGGTTCTGCAGATGGAGCTTGCAGCATGCTGCAACTTCTTCTGAGAACCAATATTTCAGGAGCTTGTTGAGCCATTAGTGATGTAGTGTCACACAGTTGCAGCACAAGAGAGCCAGGAGAGTTGAAATATTCCAGGTTGGCTCTAATATTGCCTTTCAGAGCCTGAGCACAGCAGCAGAATTGACTGTTGTGGCTGACAGCACTTCTGCTCCAACAGCAGAGTGTGACCCAAAGATTCCTTTTTCCCCCCCTCGGTAAAGGACAATGAGAAATAGGCAGGAAAAATTCTGTTCCCCTGAGTTCCTTGAGTCTTCTTTGGCTATATAAACAAAATCTAATTTTTGGAGAGATAAACTGAGCCTGAATTGTTACAACTGTGACTTTTTTACTCGTTTCCCACCTTCCCCATGTTTCCCAGACCGTGGTACGGGGCAGCACTGTGGAAGTGGAAGGGTACATCTCGGGGCTGCTCAACGACATCCAGAAGCTCTCTGCCATCAGCTCGAACACCCTGAGGGGCAGGAGCCCCACCAGCAGGAGGAGAGCCCAGTCCCTGGGGCTCCTCGGGGACGAGAGACCCCCGGACATGTATCTCCAGAGTCCTGAAGCAGACTGGGCAGACAAGTACGGGAACTACCTCAGCTGCAATGGTGGCTCCAAGGTGGCCCGGAGGCAGACCATGTGGCCGGACTACAAAGCCCGGCTGGAAGGCCAGTCCCATCCCAACGGGATGGTGACAAAAGCGCAGTCCCTGGGCCCGGCGGAGTTCCAGGATGCCGACGGCAGCTGCCTCCAGCGCACCCCCGCGCTGCAGCACGTACCGACTGTGCCGGGGGACAGCGACACCGGGCCGAGGAGCCCGGAGGAGGGCTGGGCCCAGCGAGCAGCCGGCTCCAGGCCCTCGGGGGAGGGCAGCCCCAGCTCCAAATCCCGGGAGAACAGCCTCAAGAGGAGGCTGTTGCGCAGCGTTTTCCCCTCATCCAGCGCCTCAAACAAGCCGGGCTCTTCCCTGCAGATCAAGGTAAGAGCTATTCCCTAGTTGTGAGTGGGTGCAGTGTTGGCTTTACAGTTCCAGAGGTTATGTACACAGCTGAACCAATTTAATTGCAAACATCATGCAGCCATCTGTTATTGTTATGATTAATGTTGGAATCCAAATGGTCCTGGGCCGGGGAAATGTGTGGTCCGTTGGTGCTTCACAGGATGCACTGTGAGGCACAGCTCAGCCAGATCTCTGGGAGAAGGGCTGGTTGGCAGAGCTGTGCTTGCAGGAGCGTGGGCTGGCAAGGATGAGGGGACTTACTCACTTGTGCCCTTCTGTGAGGTAAAGGCATAACTGCAGTGCCATTCCACTGGCATCAGGGAGCCTTTGCCATTTGGGAAATGGCTGTGGCTTCCATTAGTAATGTGTTCTTCTGCCTGTGCAAACCAGAGCTGCCTCAGAGAGTGGGCTGAGCGTAGCTGTATCTGTCAGGGTTTGCACTGGCACCCACGGTGCTGTCACACAGGAAATGCTGGCTGCTGGAAAGGGTGGGACAACTCATGGCTACAGCTCCCCCAGGAAAGCTGTCCTGAATGGATGACTCACTTTGTCTTGAGCTGGGAGATCTCTGGTTCCTGTACTGGGTAGGAAATGCAGCCACTGCTGCTCTTCCTTCCCAGGCTGACCCAGCACCCACCAACTTCCCATGGCTTGTTCAAAGTCTGCACTGGGCTGGGATTGGGCCAGGCTGATTTGCAGCAGCTCCACAGTCCCTGAACTGGGAGGATAATGACAGGAACCACCATCCCAACCAAACTGACTCTTCTGTAGTGTGTTGCAGGGACAGGAATGTCTCCAACCTGCCTCTTGCAGTTTGCATAAGGATCAGGCTCAAGGCTTTGGGCACAGTGGATTTCCTTTCCAAGGCAGTGGGATTCTCAAGGAATGCAGCTCTTGTGTAGCATAAGCTGCACTTTTTGCTGTCCCAGTGACTCTGGGCTCATCTGCACTGGCTGGAGTACCTAGAACTGGCCACTTGAGTCTTCCCTAGCCAGAGTGTCTTTGCCATCCTCAGCAGGAGCAGAGGTTCCCAGCTAAATGGATGTGCTTGGGTGCATTTGAACTCCAGGTATTTGTCAGAGGAGAGGAGCAGGGAAGACCTTGGGGCTATCTAGTCCATCTCCCTGCTCCAGGGAGGGATCTGTGCCATAGCTGGGAGTTGTTTATCTGATGTGTTCTTAGCAGCCTCCGGTGGTGACAATGTGAGTCTCCCTCTCAGGTGGAGGTGATGATGTGTGAGAAATGTGTAACTGCAGGTGAAAGGGACAGGGATACAACTGAACCATGGAATCCCAGAGTGGTTTGTGTTGAAGGGACCTTAAAGCTCATCTTGTTCCACCCCCTGCCATGGGCAGGGACACCTCCCACGAGACCAGGTTGCTCCAAGCTCCATCCAACCTGGCCTTGGACATGTCCAGGGATGGGGCAGAGCATTCACCACTTTCCTAGGAGGTGGGTGCCATAACAGGCACATGGGAAGGTTGAGCGAACCTTCCTTTAAACACAGTATGGGAGACAGGAGTGGGAGAACCAGTGACACCTCACAGCATCCCAGGACTGAGGATGTGTCCACTGGGCTGTCAGCTGTGGGAGCAGGAGATAACACTTGTGTGAGCCTGCACGTGTGCTGTGTGCCCCTCCTGCACGCTCAGGGTTACAGAAAACCTTTTTGGATTTGCTCTCCTGAGACAAAACAAGATTTGGAAAATAAATGCTGTGTTGCTGTGAGCATGTCAGCACAGGAGTGCAGGGGTGGAGCTGGCACTCGGGGAGGGAGGAGCTCCTGACATCCACTTGTGTTTGTGCTGTGCTTGATGCCACTAACCAGTGTTTTCCAGGGCCTGTGTGTCTGTGAAAGTGAGTCCTGTGTGTTTGTGAGGCTTATGCAGATCCTGCTGTTGACAAAAATCCTTGATTAAAACCCAAAGTGCATGGAATTAAATCCTATACAATTATTTCCTGTCTGAGATGTGAAAAGGAGTCTTCTTCTAAAAAAGTCTCTGTTGGCAGTTTTTGGTTCCCATTCTCATATTATTAACTTTATTAATAATCTCTGAATTGTGAGAGAGAAAATGCTTTTTGCTTTGAAGTAGTTTTGCCCTATAATACAAATGATTGGCTTGCTCATTCTGAAGCAGCTCCACTATTATTTCGCATGTGTTTGTATACATGTATTATGTATATTTTACATATACACATGTAAGTATATAATGTATTTTATACCCCACCTGCTAGATGTTGCATTTTAATTAATCAACGTTTCCAGGATGAGTATGAGCATGACAAGGTTTATCCTTCTTGGGAGACCCATGTGTAGTGGTCGCATGGGAATGTGTATCCCAAAGCCACGTTCCCATGGGCTGTGATCTCACTGCACTGAACAGGAGTGGGCCTGTGTGGCACTGGAGTGGGATGTCTCCAAAACCCTCCAAATTCACGGTCGGTCACTTTGGAGCCGCCAAGGTGGCAGGTGGCTCTGTGTAGCTGGAGTCTCAGGCTGGCTGCCTCCAACTGGCCTGGATCCCAGTGCTCTTCCCAAAGCAGAGGGCTAGCTCTGTGCCTGATCGACAGGAATGCTCTGCAGGTACCAGTGGAAAGTGCAGAGAGAGTTTTCAATAGGCAGAGTGTAATTACCCCAAGGGAATTAGGCCAAGACATCAAAGTGATTTACAGCCTTGGCATGAATCCTCTTTCCTTTTATACAGAGGAAGATCAGAGGCACAGAAGGATAAAGGATTTTCAAATTCTCTGCAGCACAGGTTGCCCCTGAGTTTTGGTGGTGAGGTTGGAATGCTTTTTAGCAGCTGGGCTTTTTTCTGTGGGTTTTGGGTCTTGGTGGTTTTTTTAAAGCATGTGCTTTAAAAGGTTCCCTTTAAACTGCTTCAGTTCAGAGGTCCCTAGAGTGTAGCACCCATTCCCTAAGGAGTTCTTGAAGATCTGCATCCAAGCAGATCTTCATCCAAACATGTGTTGGGCAGACCTGGAGCTCTTGACTCCAATCAGCTCCAAGTTGTGCTGGGGCAGAGTGGAATGACACAAAACTGATTCCTGACCTTTCTGCTTGTTAACCCAACCATCCCTTTTTGGTTTTGCCCCTTTCCCCTTTGTTCCTCTGGCAGCCTAACGCTTTCTTCAGGCCCCAGCAGTGGGGCTCCCCGCGCAGCCCTGCAGCCAAAGCCCAGTCTCTCCCGCCAGATCCGCCCGCCTCCGATTTCCCCAGGGGGGTCTCGGAAGCCGAGACCCCCCAGAAGTCCCCGCCAGTGGAGAAGGCGGTGGCAGTGCCCCTGAGCCGGCCCTCGCCAGCCGGGTCCCCCCGCAGCCGGCACACCCAGACCAGCTCCAGCAACCTCCACCTGCCCCCGGACTCCGCCGGGAAGGGGCAGCCGGCCGGCGAGGACCCCGTGGTGGTGACCCACGAGCAGTTCAAAGCTGCCCTCAGGATGGTCGTGGACCAGGGGGATCCACGGGCGATGCTGGAGAACTACGTCAAGATCGGGGAGGGCTCCACGGGCATCGTGTGCATCGCGCGGGAGAAGCACTCGGGGCGCCAGGTGGCCGTGAAAATGATGGACCTGAGGAAGCAGCAGCGCCGGGAGCTCCTCTTCAACGAGGTGAGGGAGGGCGCGGCTGGGGGAACAGACAGGTGGCAAACAGGGAGGAGCAGGACCATCTCCCTTTGAGTAGGATTATGCTCCTACCAAGGATTCCTGCCGGGGGTGGGGGCTCTGCGCTGGACTACCATACATAGGGCTGTGAGTCCTGCTTGGCTGGGGAGGGTTGGGTGCCGTGAGTGCTTTTGTGGTGGTCACTTGCTCCCTGTGGATTTCCAGGTGGTGATAATGAGGGACTATCAACACGTCAATGTCGTGGAGATGTACAAGAGCTACCTCGTGGGAGAGGAGCTCTGGGTGCTGATGGAGTTCCTGCAGGGGGGAGCCCTCACAGACATTGTGTCTCAAATCAGGTACGAAGCAAAATCAAAAACACCTAAGAGCAAGGGCAGAGTGGGGATTTCTGGGAAGAGTAGTTTCCCTCAGAGACCTTGTGTTTGTTGTGGCCTGAAACTGCTACACTTTGTAACTGTTATCCATTTGAATTATGTGATAATACTTCTGATATAGAAGGAACCTCCTTCACAGTACTGATCCCTTTAGGTACCCACTGTTCATCTCCTTGATGACCTTCCCTGTAAAACACTGCACTCATAAAAAAACCACTGTTTACTATATTTGTTGAGTCCTGGCCAGGAAGTTCATTGAATAAGTATTAAAGAGCATGCAGAAATAGTTTTCAGTGGTGCAACCTTAGCCACAAATTCAACCTCACTAACTCCTCTGGAAAAGTGCAACAGAGCCTTGAGATTTGGACTCCTTCCCAAATTTCATTGCCTAAAGATAGCAGCTACCGGACACTCTCCTAAATTTGTTTCCTTATCCACACCACTCGATATTCATTAATGCCCAAAGCATTTCTGTAGGGCAGAGAAGTTGTTCTTAGATGGCCCTTGGGGTCCACTCATGGCCTGGAGCACCCTCCTCCTGCTTCCCAGCAGTCCTGCGAGGCTGGAAACTGGTGCAGGGAATACCAACGGAAAGACTGACCAGGAAAGTCTGCAGGATGAGCTTTTCTTTTTTGAAGATTTAGAATCTTAGTTGGTTATCATTAGGCAGCATTGCTAACACCAATTGTATTTGGTTTTTTAAAAATCATAGTATACCCTTGGTTCACTTATGTGCTCAGATTAGATCCTGTGGTGGATTTAAGGCATATATCTTGCTCTGTTGGATTCTGTGTTTTGGAAGCACGTCTGTGATGTGTTTGGGAGGTGTGAAAAGCCACATTGTCCTCTGTAGCCTCCACCTGGAAGGAGTGTCCTGGAGACACTTAGCTGGGCTGATGCTCCAGCATCGAGTTCAGAGACACATGTCAGGGTCTGAGAACCAACGCTTAATCCTGAGGAGTTACAGCACTGCAGAGCCTGTGAAACTCCTGTAGCTCTTAGATGGCATTGGGATTACAGATAAAAATTGCTGAAGAGGTTTATGAAGGGCCTATGTGTTTATATCCACCAGTCAGTCTGAATTCCATTGTGGGACCTCAGCCTAGGTTGGTTTTATGAAGCTTCCTTTGAACCTGTTAATGAATGCTTGTTTTTTCACATGGTGGAAACAGGGTCTGTTCTAACCATAACATTTATCAGAAGTAAGCCTTTAGCAGTTTTTTCCAGTGAGGAAAATACCCTCATTTCAGTCACTAAACATTTACTGAGGGGGATAAGTGATTTGCATCTCCAGGAGTGAGGTAATTCTCCAGTAATGTGTTTTACACTATCCAGACACTTGACTGAAACCAGAGTCCATCCATGACAGGCTGAAAGTGCACCTCTTGTTATCTAAACCTAAAGGTGAGGTTCTTGGTGCTCATATTCCATGTGCTAACAGAGAGTGCTGGAAATCAGGAGGGTCTTCTCTGCTTGTAACCTGTGCTGCCTCTAGTTAGGTGTGAGTGTACCCAAGCTATGTGCAGGAAAACCCAAAGGATCCCTGTATTTGCTATCAGAGAATGTGTTTAGATGTTTTCTGGATAGGGTTGCACAATAGACCTTGTGAACAATGGCTTTACCATATTTGCTTTAAAAAGAGCTGTCTCACCAGTTACTGCAGCACCTTGGCATCGAGCAGCACTGCTGCCTGTCAGAACTGCTTGAAACAGCATCTTGCAGAATGAACTGAGATACAGGATTTAAAATATGAAAACTTAAAGTTGCCAACCATCAAGTCAAAGCTGTTTTCCACAGTAGCAGACATAGAAGACCGGTGAAGGTGAGATAGTAAAGGCCATAGGGAAGCAAATACCTGTGATTTAACTTGAGAATTGCACCGTGCCCTTGTGGCCGAGCCCTGTCCCTGCCCAGCTGAGCTCCCTGTCGCTGATTGCAGGCTGAACGAGGAGCAGATTGCCACGGTGTGTGAGTCGGTGCTGCAGGCTCTGTCCTACCTCCATGCCCAGGGGGTCATTCACCGGGACATCAAGAGTGACTCCATCCTTCTCACTCTGGATGGCAGGGTATGTGTCCTCAGACAGACTGTTTCCTGTCTTCTGCTGCTGCAGCCTTCCTCTCTTGCTTCCTCTCTGTCCCCAGTCCCTTGTTTGCAGCTCATCCTCTTACTCCCTTTGATGTCTTTTTCTGTGGGGTTTCCCTCTGTGTTGTCTAAGGTTGATTTCTAAGGTTGGTTGCTCTTCTCTTTGTACAGGTCAAACTCTCAGATTTTGGCTTCTGTGCTCAGATCAGTAAAGATGTACCCAAGAGAAAGTCCCTGGTGGGTACTCCCTACTGGATGGCTCCAGAAGTCATTGCCAGGATACCGTACACCACCGAGGTAAGGGACACCTCCCTAATATCAGGAGAGGGAGCAAATAATATTCTCAAGTGTCACAGGAAAATAACTATTGGCTTTTCTAGGAAGAGCCTCTAGACTCTATTTAAAACAAAGCCAAGCGTGACTACCGATTTGATTGTGATGATGGCAATATTTTCAAAGTCAGTAGAAAAATAGATTGTTCTGCTTCCAGGAAAGAGGCATAAACTTATTCTATTCTTACACCTGAAGCTTGGCCTAGATTTATACCAGCTGTGGACAGATGGGAGCAAGGAGCAGCCTGTGACACGATAGAGATCAGTAAATGGATGCCAGAAAGGGAGGGGAGGAGGGGCTCACCTCGGGGAAGGCAGGGATGGGAGCTCTGGAATTCCGGGCAGGTGGCAGCAGACTAATGAGTTTTGTTTACCAAGGAACCAGGTGTAGCACAGGCAGTTACTTGCAGACCTTTACATGTTGCAACACCACTGATGCTCAGTCCTGGGTGCAAAACTGACTTTGTTAAACTGCTGTAAGGAGCCCAAGAGCATCAAGGGGTCAGTGTTGGACTCGGTACCATTTGTCATGGGTGGAGTGTTGCAGCCTTGGTGAAAGCAACACAGCAAGGACCTACTGCTCTGAACTGTGTGTGTTGATGTGCCATTGGCTCCCATAGGTGGATATCTGGTCCCTGGGGATCATGGTGATAGAGATGGTGGATGGAGAACCCCCCTACTTTAGTGATTCTCCAGTCCAGGCAATGAAGAGACTCCGAGACAGTCCTCCTCCCAAACTGAAGAACTTCCACAGGGTGAGAATGCTGGCAAACACTTGTACACCTGATGGTTATCACAGGGGAACCTCCGTATCAGCTGTTCCCGGAACAGCTGGCTGTGGAAATGGTCTTGCTAGGACGTTCCCTGGGAAGTGCTTTGACCCCGGGCCCTCGGTGGCTGCTGCTGCCGGCTGGTGGCTGTGTGGGGAATAGCGCTGACAGTGTAAGGGCACCTGGGCATAAATGGAGAGTGCGAATCAGAGCTGCCTTGGCTGGACCCAGCAGTTTCCAGCTTGCTGATGTCGATAGAGTAGCTCATCTTCCGGGGAAGGAAACAGGACGATCCTTGGGAGTTTCCAGCTTTGCGTCCTTCATGACTGCAAAGACTGTGTTATTGTCACAGCAGGAGAACTCAGGACACACAGGAGCTCGTGGAGACTCTGCAGCTGCTCTGAAGATGAACTTGGCTTCATGGTTTTTTACGAAAAAGTAGCAGTGGCATAAGAAACAGTGATCACCTTTCAGTCCCCACTTGGAGCAATCCTTTCATTCCAGGCTGAGCCTGTGAGATCAAACAGCTTCTGCAGCATCCTGAGCTACCCGGCCTTTCCAGTTAATCAGAGGATCTGCAGCTGCTAAAACTGAATTATTTAACAGAGTAGACTGCTGAACTAACATCAACAGCTGCTCTCTCCTCTTTGCCTTTGCAACACTAATTAAAATGTAATGGTCACGTTCTGGACCCAGTGCTCGCCCTCCTTGGGCAGTGTAAAGCCAACCTGGTCTGGGTCACACCTTACTTGGTGACATGGCCCTGCTGTCTGGCTGTGACAGCCAGAGCTGATCATAGTCTTGCTGTGCTCTGGTTACCCTGGGAAGCAGCCTGGCTTCCAGCAGATCTCTGGGTCGCAGGCCAGGGGCCGTCCTGCCCCGTGTCCTGGGGGAACTCAGCCCTCCATCCTGGTGCCAGTCCCTGACTTCCTGTGGTCAGTGACTGAAGTACTGGTGCACCAGGTTCAAGGGGTGTCACTGGGATGGTCCCTGCTGCTTTGCTAAGGCATGGACAGACTCCCTGCTGGGGATACAGGCTGGATCCCAGCACTTGTCTTGACCTGGGCGATGGCTTCTACCTCCAGCGATCCCATCCAAAGGGCTCCTGAAATAAACAGTAGCTCAGTGTGAACAGGATTTCATGTTCTACTTCTAAGTGAGCCAGAGCTGGGAAAATGCCCCTAACCTAAACTGGATGTCATTAACAGAATTTAAATAAATAAATATAAGCCAAGTTCATTTTTTATTCCGTTTTAACGATGCAGAGGATTAAACCAGCAGGAGATGTGCAGGGCCTGGAAGTGGTGCTTGGGGCTGGCTACTCCAGGCTTTTACAGCTCTTCCAAAGGACAGACCTGGGAGGTCATTCAACTTTTTGGTACCTGTTCTGCAGCTTTTTCACTTTCTTGCACCAGCAGCATGAGGGTTCCAGGCCTCTCAAAACCAATTTGGGAATCTTATTGAACTACTTTTCCACAATCTGTGATCAGTAAAAGAATGAATTGAGGCACCCTTCCCACCCAGGGGTTGTGCTCAGGTAGCAGGAATCTTGCTGAATTTTTGAGCTGAACTGCAGAAAATAATGAAATGGGAAACAGGAGTGATCTGGATGGAAGGACACTCCAGGCAGGCTTGTCTTAATTGGCTGTGGTGCACTGGAAAGAAAACCACCTGTGTAAGTGTTGTGCCTACCAGTGCCAGAGGGTTATGTCCCTAACATGAAAAGTGTGAGATCCATGTCACATTGCTGGGAAAACGGGGATACAGAGGGGGAAGGTGCAGGATCCCTTTAACCAAGCCCACCTGGGCAGCCTGGTGTTGCATGAGCTGTGCCTGGTGGCTTTGCAGGGTTGACTTGGTTGGTTGCTTTTTCACAGACCTCCCCAGTTCTGAGAGACTTCTTGGAAAGGATGTTGACACGGGATCCGTTGGAAAGAGCAACAGCACAAGAACTTCTGGATCATCCCTTTTTGCTCCAGACAGGACTTCCAGAGTGTTTGGTGCCCCTTATCCAACAGTACAGGAAGCGCACCTCCACCTGCTGACTCTGCCTGAGGGGAAATTGTGGGGAAAAAGGAATGTTTATAAAAAAAAAGAAATCTAAAAAATGAAGAGCCCAGGTGGTTTCATCCTGTGAATGGTGCTTGGAAATTGTCAGCAATGGTTTTAGAGGATGAGTGTGAATCCTGTCCGTGCATTTGCAGCCTTCTGGGGCTTCTCCTTTGCTGAAGACAATCAACACAGACTAGATCCAGGTGAGACCAAGGATAAAGCGGGTATTCCATGCCTTGGGAATCGCTGCTGCCGGAAGATGGCGTTTGAAGCGGAGTCTGAAGTTGTGTATCTGAATGTCTGTGAGTTTCTGCACACCTTGGCTGCTGACCACTGAACTGGAATGATGTTTCCCAGTTAGAAATGTGATCTTTGCTTCCTTCATTCTACACTGGAGTCCTGTGCTGACTCATTTTGGGGCACAGACCCTTTTAAACTGTCAAACAATGCACAAAGACTTGAATTTTTTTCCTCTGAGACTTTTTCACAGACGATTTTAATTTCCTTGGGTTAAATGTGGACCTGGAAACCTGCCCGCACTTCCCTCAGGAGTGATGTGATATGTATATATTTGTTTCTAAGTGGCTCTCTTGCATCAACAGGCTTCTCTTTTGCTGCGGAATGTGTATGGTTTAGTGGTCAATCTTGAATCCATTTCATGATTTTAAGCTTCTGGAAACCCTTGAACACAGGCCTCCAAGTGGACTCTGTGAAGACCAGGTGCTCCCACCACCAGGTCCTTGTGGTTGACCATTCACCACATGCAAGACCTCTGGTGCTGGCTGGGGTGTGAGCAGCCTGCTCCTGGGGCTGCTTTCCAGACACCTTTCTTTCCCAGCCCCTTCTCCCAGGAGAGGCTGAGAAATGCTGCCCTGAGGCAGTTGTTGGGTAGCATTTTGGGGATGCTGTAGGAGACAGAATGGAAAAGTTTGAGCTGTGCTGCACATCCCAGGATTGATCTCTGTGTTCGTGGGAGGTGTTTGTCCAACCTCCCCATCTCCCTGCGGCTGCTGCAGGACGTGGGGAGGCACCTCTGCTGTCTGGCTGTTGGTCTGCCCTTCCCCACCAACCCTTGGCATCTGGAAGGTTTCTGGTTGTCTAAACAGCTCTTTGAGTTCTTTTAACATAGTTTTGGGTATTTTGTGTGCTACACTCTCTGGTCAGTGAGATCCTCAAGGTAATTGGACTCTAGGTCAGGATTAACATTGTACAGTGACGGTGTGTGTTGTTGTGAGGTCTCAAGAATATGCTTTTACATGTGGAACTGGGATTTTGTTTTGAAACTCCACATGCAAATGTACTGGAATTTAAGTTATTCTCGGGACAGTCCTTCTGTGCCAGAAACTAACCTCAGAATTGCATTTTCTTCAGAAGATGTTCATAATCTCTGTCCTCTGCTATTTGCTCCAGTTACAGATCCTGCTTCAAAATTGAAGCCACAGTTGATTACTTGAAGTAATTTGGGACGGAATTGATCTGCACTGATGCCATCACAGGGTGGGCACCCAGTCTGTGGAATGTGTAGGTTGGCTCTGTATCTGTGGGGAGGGAACACCTGGTGAGGGTGTTGTCAGACACCTGCTGAAGGATGAAATCACTCTCTCCCTCACCTGTGGTAGGTAGAGGGGTCACAGGAGGTTTGCCTAGACTGGATGTCTAAGTTTGGGGCTGATGGAGTTGATTGAAATTAATTCATTTAGCTCCTCTTTAGCTGCACTGGAAAATTTTTGACTTAAAATGTTTATGTATTTCAGATATATTACTTTTTTTTTTTATGCAAAAGAGCAGGGCTTGGAAAAGATTTATAATTTGAAACAAACACTCCTGCTGGTCTGTAGTTGTGAATCCTTTGCACTTGTGTTTTAAATTAAAGTAGATCTTGATTTATTCATAAGGCTGTTGCGGTGCTGAGATGCTTCACAATGTGTCTGTAGTTCAGAGCTGGGAGTGTGAACCTTAGAGTCTGGTCTTACTTCCCTGTTCTGTGGCTACGTGGCTTTTAAAGCAAGAGGAGAGTGGGGCAGGAGCCTGGATCCTGAAACAAGCATTTTTTGGAGACAGGTGTGACAGGTTTAACATTCAACACCGTTTTTCTACTGCAGCCTAAGTCTGGCTAAACACAGTGAGGGAAGGCCCTGGAAAAATTGCATTCAAGTATCTTATAAAATTTTAAACCCCCATTACCATATTTGAGGGATGCAGAAAGCAATTCCTGCTGCTTGTGTTTCTCTCTTTGCAGTTCATGCACGGCACATCACCAGTTAACTGCTCCATTACTTAGATGAGTGTGGAATCAAACATAAATCCTAAGATAAACTTAGATTAGCTGAAAGATTGAAGCTCCATCTCCAGGGCCAACAGCTCCTTCCCCAGGAACCAGGCAGGAGCATGAGGATCCAGAGCAGGTTTGGAATTTGCATTGCAGTAGTATTCAGGTCAGGATTTCTCATGTGCTGAGTGAGATCTGAGTGTACAACAACGTGTGACCTCTTCTCTGATGAGCCCAGAGCCTACTCAGTGGGTAATTATGCTTGGAGATGTTGTTTTCTCTGAGTATCTTTCCTCTTCTACGAGGTTACACTTGTGTCTCGGGGTTTGCTGTTGTTTTGTGTCATGTTTTCCCTGAATCCTCTCCTTTTATTTTCCCTCTTGTCAGCTTTGCTCGTGTCGAGCCTTTTCCATGCTGCCACAGTCCTGGCAATCAGCTTCCAGGAGGCCTTTGAAGATGGTGGGTGGGATTTACAGGAACAATTTGCTGAATCAAACGGGTGCTCTGGGAGTGCTGTCAGGTCCCAGTTGCACTGGTTTGTGTATAATGGTGCCTGTCCCCCTCAGACAGGCCTCTGCTGTTGGATGCAGCAGCTTATTATCCTGGGACAAATCTTTCTCTGGAGGGCCCCTCTCTTTTAACCTGTGGTTACAGATGGACCCTGGGTCAAATGAGGCTCCCAAATTTAAGATTGAGTCTGGTGAGGAGAACCCCATCCTTGCCCCTGCACCCTGCAGAAAGCTTTTGGCTGTGCCTTGGGTCCTGGGGATAAAGAGGCATAACAGCAAGTAATAATCTTGACCATGTGGGTTATGTGTGGGGCAGGAAGAGTGTCTCTAAAATACAAGAGCTACTGTGCAGTAATTCCTTGTGTAAGTGCAATGGGCATATCAGAACTGTCTCTGTTCCGGAGGCAAAAGATAATTTGGATTGTACAGTGTCTCCTGTTGGTATCCCTTGCTGGAGCTGGAGTCCTCCTCTGCTTAGGAATCCCCATTATCTAATTTTTTACTATTATAGTACAAAGGTTGGACTAATATAAATATTTTGGGCCAGAGAATTTAGTGGTAGAGAACAAGACCTAGAATGTGGCACTTTAAAGGTGAAAATGTGGAGAGGTGAGATTGTGCCTAAATGTTCTGCTCTGTGTCAGAACCCACTGAATCTGGGTTCTGTAACAGCCTCAACAGTGACCTGTGTGACCCAAACACCACATCACTCTGTGCCCAGGTAAGCAAAACCACAGGCAGGGCTGCATGTGAAGGAATCCTCAAGGATGTCTGAATTCCATGGGATGAAGTAGTGCTGGAAGATGAGGTGGCTCCTCTCCTCTGCAGCCCGTGAGTAACCGAACCGGGATGCGAGTGAGTTGTGCTGCTGGGGGGGTGCTCAGGGTTCCTGGGGTGCTCAGAAACCTCTGTAGTAACATTTGGTTTGGTGCCTTTATTTAATTGTGTCTGTTTCCCATCTGGCCCCCACTTTGGGCAAACAGGGATGTGTCTGAGGTGCCCTGAGAAGGGCAGAGCACTGGGTGTCTGGGTTCCCTCCAGGGAGAGAAGGGATGAATTTTCCTTAAAAATAACCTTTAAAAGGCTTCTCTGGAGGGGTTTGTCTGGCATAAGTGGGGGTAGGAAGCAGTGCCGATGCCCCTGTGCTCCAGGTGGAACTGCCTGTGCTGCACCTGGGTTAAGGTAAGAGCTCCAACTGCTCCTGCCTGCAGTTGGACTTGGTGGGATGTTCAGGATCTGCTTTGGGAGGGCCTCAAATGCCACAGGGACAAATATGGACAGACACAGTCAAGGAGATGGACACACAGAGACAGACAAGCAACAGACACACGCAGGGACACAGACACAGGGACAGACACAAGTGGATGGACAGAGGGCACACACACTGAGACACAGGGACACAGACATGGACGCGCACAAGGACACAGAGACACGGACACAGGGGGACAGTGTCACACACAGACACATGGGACAGACTGGGATGGACACAGGGACACGGACACATGGACATACAGGGAAAGGGACATGGACAGACCCTGGGACAGACACCTAGACAGATACACAGAGAGGGACACAGACAGACAGAGACACCCAGGATATACACACATGGACAGACCCACAGACAGGACAGAGACATGAACACACGGACAGACACACACTGACTGACCCACAGATACAGACAGGATAGAGAATGAACACATGGACAGACACACATGGACACACACTGAGAGACACGCAAACAGACACATGGGCACACTGATGGACACAGACAGACGCATGGACACGCATACGGACAGACACACTGACACACACAGACACATGGACACAGACCACTGACCTCGGACACACACTGACGGGGACATGGACACATGGACATGCACACTGACGGACACACGGACACACACTGACGGGGACATGGACACACACTGATGGACACACGGATACACACCGATGGACACAGAGACAGACACATGGACACACGGATGGACATATGGGCAGACACTGACAGACAGACACACAAACACACTGACGGACACACTGACGGACAGACACACAAGCACACTGACGGACACACAAACACACTGACGGACATACTGACGGACAGACACACATTGACGGACACAGACACGCACTGACGGACACACGGCAGACACGCATTGACGGACACATGGACAGACACAGACAGATGGACACACGGACGGACACACAGACGGACGCACAGACGGACACACTGACGGACACACTGACGGACACACAGACGGACACAGACACACACAGGTGGACACATGGACACACACTGATGGACACATGAACAGACACACATGGACAGACACACGGACACACGAATGCACACTGATGGACACCCACTGACGGACACACGGACACCTACTGACGGACACACGGACACCTACTAACGGACACATGGATACCTACTGACGGACACGTGGACACACACTGATGGACACACAGACACATGGACACTGACACACGGACACACTGACTGACACACAGACCCACACTGATGGACACGTGAACGGACACAGACACACGGACGGACACAGAGACATACACACAGACATGGACAAACACATGGACACATGGACAGACACACGGACACAGACACACACACTGACATACGCTGGCGGGCTGATGGACACACTGATGGACACATGGACACGCGCTGGACAGTCACGTGGACATACAGACATGCACACTGACAGACACACGGACACACACTGACAGAGCCACGGACACACAGCCACACAAGGCCATGGACAGACACGAGCGCACAGGGACACACGGTGCTCCCACCCCACTTGTGGTTAAATAACAAGGGATCTCATTTGTTAGGAAATGCAGTGGTTTATTGTTTTAGAAAATAAATAAGTCAGAAACATCCAGTCCATCCCTCCAGTCCTCTGTAACACTGCAGGGCAGCTGTGGGCTCTTGTAGGATGTCAGGCCAGGCTTGGAACATCCCTGTCTCAGACCCGCTTGAGCTCGGCTTTGTTTTCATAGCAGCACTTCTCATGTCTGTTATTGCAGCATCAGGGGTAACTGTGCTCCTGCAGCACCCCCTCTGCTGTGGGTGTGTGTGACTGAGCCCAGTTCCCACCCCCATCCCCACTAAACTGTGAAACCTGGTGTGAATGCCAAGGAAACATTCCTGGAGCTGCTGCTGTGATGCCAACCCGGAGCTGGTCTGCAGGCACAGGCCCCTTCCCACTGCTGACATAGCTCAGAGCTCAGGCTGGGGGACACAGGGAGGGGAGCGCTCTGGAGGGTGAGCTCTCCAACTTCCAAATACCTGGGATAAAAAAGTAAGTGCTTTGCTGAAGGATTTCAGGAGCTCCCTGAGTGGAAAGGGAGGGATAGCAGTACTTTGGGAAGCTGGTATTTAACTTCACCATTTACTTCCACAGCTCTTCCTGCAATGAACAGTAAGGAAGGGACTTGTCTCAGAACACACTCTCTTCAAACTCCACATCCGTTCCAGCTCCCGGGAGCTCAGGCACGACCAGTGTAAGCCCGGACACCTCCGCCACTGGGACGTTTGCTTCCACTTGGTCTGGAGAGCCTTGTTCTCTCTCGGGAACGCTCTGACCTGCTTGCCCAGTCTGTGGCTCTGCAGGAAAGCCAGCTTTGGTGTAGTTCTTCACCATCTCCTGCACCTCCATGTTCAGAGCTCTCACCTTCTCCTCGTACTCCGCCAGTGCCTGCTGCTGGAGCTGCGGGCGGAGACTTGTGTCATTCCCACACACTTGGAGCTCTGGGATGAGCCACGGCTGCTTTGGGGGCCGTGTGGGCCCCTCTTGCACTTGCTCAGTGCCCGGGGGCTGCATGCTGGGGTGGGGGGGCTGAGGGTGGAATAAAGGTGGATCCCTGGGGATTGGGTGCTGGGGGGGTGCTGAGGGGGCAATAAAGGTGGATCCCTGGGGGCTTGGACTCGCTGGCCTATGGAACAGCCCTGACCTGGAGCCTTGTAAGGCCTTACCTGGCTTTCTGTCTCCTTGATGGATCGCAGGCGCTCCGCCTGCTTCTCCTCCAGTTTCTGCTGGAGCCGGCGCGTCCTCTCCATCACCTTTAAACACAATCCAGTGACCCCCCTCAGGTTCC